TTCATGTTTTGCGTCGAAATGGACGACGGAATTGCACATGTAATGGCTTGATTGTTCTTTTGTCTGCGAATGCTTAGTTTAATGTGTATATGCATGGTTTTTATGATTTTTAGCTGTGCAAGATCTGACCACTTGGATCCACTGTATATCTCGTTGAATTTTATTTTTCTTTCAGGCTGTTCTGCACAACTTTCCGGTTTCGAGGGTATCTTTCATAGCTCGTGATACTACAGATGCTAGAGCTTTTGGAATCGTTTTTGGACAACCAGACAGTAAGCATTTTCTTACGTGAGGAAATTTCTAGACTCATTCTTGCCTATTTAGATAAGTATAAGTTTTATGGTATCAAGACTGCACAAACTGCTGATCAAGCCGTTCTTGCCATTCGAGACATGTTCCAGGTACTTGGTTTTTGTGGTGTAGCGTTTGCTTTGAGAACTAGTTTCTTTCTTTGTTGCAGGTCGTATTTGAGATGAAGAAGAAGCACATTGAACAAGTGAAACAGCAGCAAGAGGAGAGGAAAACCAAAAATGTTAGTCATTTCGCGCTATATTAGCTTTTTGTACTATTAATTATTGTTTTCCCAATATGCTTTATTTCTTCCCTTTTCTGCGTACCGTTATATTCGTCCATCGTACTTAATGAACCATGGGTAAAAAGCTGCAACGGAGATCTGGTACACTTTTTGACTTCTGAATCTATTTCTGTCACATCAAGAGTCATTTATTCGTCCATATTTTTCTTGTAAGCGTAAGCATTGCTGAACAAGCCGGTTTGTCATTCAACCAAGCCTGCCTGTCAGTCGATCGGTAGCTGTATGTTTGCGTTTTACTAGAAGGGGTCTAAGCTTAGAAAATCGCATTTAAAAGAACTTTATTGAGTTATCGCCCCAATTTGATGGAAGTGGATCACCTAGTAAGGTTCAAGATTTAGCTTTGAACTGTTGATTAGGCTAGAACGTTATATTTAGATTGAACACATAGCTTGAAGCGTTTCTCAAGCTTATCTTTTAGTCAGGAGGGGAAGTTCTAAATGGGGCGGGCAAAAGGGCCGGGTTTTAGGCGATTTGTCAGTTCGGGCACTTAGCACTTATGTGATTTTCGTAATATTTTCTAGTCCCTGATGGGTCCCATG